AGAGAGAGAGAGAGAGACTGGCCATAAGCACATGGAGAGAGGGGAGAAGGGAATGGGGAGAGAGAGGGGAGAAGAGAAGAGCAAGAGGGCAAGAGAGGGAGGAGGAGGTAAGCAGCTCCTTTTATAGTGGGTCAGGCCTACCTGGTATTGCCAAGTAACTGTGGGGTGGAGCTTAGACAGAATGCTAACATACAAGATTTGGTGTTTGCCCTGTGAGGTTTCAGACTAGTTCTGACCCAATCTTTCCTCACTATGTCCCCATTCCTTCTTTTGCAATGCGAATGTATATTCTGTGCCTTTTTATATTTAAACTACATAATTCTTTTTTTTAATTTATTTTTTATTTCACTGGGGTCACAGGTAAGAGGTTGCCTTGAATCTCAGAAGAGACTTTGGACTTTTGAAGTGTTAAACTATTAAAAGACTATGGGAACTTTTGAAGATGGACTACATAGTTTTGCATTGTGAGATATCCATGAACTGATTCGGTCCAGAGGCCAACTGTGGAGATGTGAATAAGAAGTGTCCCCTGTAAGCTCATGTAGTTGAGCATTTGTCCCACAGATGGGAGTACTGTTTGGGGGAGGTATAGAACTTTTAGGAGATATAACCTTGCTGAAGAGGAAGTACACCACAGGAGGCAGGCTTTGAGAGTTTATAGCCTTGCCTTACTTCCTGCATGTTCTCCCTGCTTCCTACGCAGATTTTAAAATGTGATCAGCTCCTGACCCCTACTTACATGCCATACTATCCCCATGATGGGCTCTCTTGTCTCTCTGGGACTCTAAACCAAAATAAATAAAACTTACTGGTCCTTAAGGCAAATGTATTTTATCACAGTAACATAAAAGTAACAAATCTATCCCCTAAGTCTCTGGCTGTTCTCTCTCACATCTACAACAAAACCTTCTGCTTAACCATACCTTGGAGCCACCATGTAGTCAGTGTATACAATAAATATCTGCTCTAGTATGGGCTGGAATGCTAGCTCAGTGATTAAGAGCACTTGCTGCTCTTGCATGGATCCATGGTTTGAATCTCAGCACCCACATTAGATGGTTCATATCTGCCAAAAGCTGCAGTGCCTGGAGACCCAATGCAACCTTCTAGTCTCCTTGGGTACTGAAGGCCTATGGTGCATAGAAGTATGCTTAGTCTCACACACACACACACACACACACACACATACAAGTTCTTTGTATATAGCTCTGACTATCCTGGAACTCACTGTGAAGACCAGGCTGACCTTGAACTCAGAGATCTTCCTGTCTCTGCCTCCTGAGTTCTAGAATTAAAGGCATGCACACCACCATGCCCAGCTTGCACATAAAATAACAAAAATGTGGTATGTTGGGATGATTTAGAACCTGAGAGTACATAAGCATTTCAAGCATTGGGAAAAATCAACACATACTCAGCTAGAAATGTTACTTTATTTTAAAACATATACAGAATAATAAATATTATTGTAAAACTTAAGAGCCTTTTTTTATCTACATAAGGCAATTAACATGCTATGACTACTTCTATGAAGCAAAATATAAGCAAGTCTTAGACACTGATAAATATGTGTGTGTATTAACTGGAAACATTTTCCCCTACTACATTTATGTGAAAAGCTTTCAGGCAACCAACATTCAGCACTCCTTTTAATCTGTTTCTCTCGTTATATTCATTTCATGAGGAAGTAATAATTACCCTTCCAAAAAGCAAAACCAGGATTACAACCGAAATGCCACACCTTTAAACTCCTGTAAAGTGCAAAAACACTGATGGGGTGAAATGCAAGGTACTGTGACAAAAGCATTCTGAATTTGTCAAGGTGACTCTTTGGCATTAGTGTTTTGGGAGTTCCTGACATTTGCCTGGCATCAGATCACTGAGTAACAGGGCTAAGATGCCCTGGTAAGCAGGAAGTTCAGCATGTCTCATGAGAAATTCAAAGCAACAGAATCGATGGGACACATAGGGCTACACATACAGCATACAACCCAAAGTAGAACAAAAAGGAATGCATCATGGCATCATAATTTGGTCTTTCCATTATTTTTTGAAGTCCATGTTTTATTTCCTCCTTCTTCAACAAAATATGTAAACCCTTAAAACAAAATTAAAGCCTTATGGAGTCATGCAAACTTTATACCCAGTGTTCCCCTTACTTGTTTGGTGTTCAAGGCTACACGCTCTACAGCACAGTCTGGATCAGACTTCAATGTCTGCAAGCTTCCAGAGCAGTTCAGAGTATGGTGCTCCTACCTTCAGTTTCCAGAGTTACTGAATGTACTCTCGGTTTAGAAACAATTAATTTTGAGAACCTTCCTACAACTTTCGAGGTAGAAAAACTGAGGCACAGAAAGGTTAAAAAACTCACATATATTTTCACAAATCAGGAGAAAATTGGGGGAAAAAATGAGTCCTCTGGGACTGGAGGAATGGCTTGGTGCTTAAAAGCACTTGCTGCTTTGCAGAGGGCTCAGGTTGGGTTCCCAGGGCCCACATGGTGGAACACAACCTGCAGAACCTCCAGTTCTTAGGGATCTTCTACCCTCTTCTAGCCTTGGTGGGTACTGCATGCAGGTGGCACACATACATACATGCAGGAAAATGCCCATATAATATGAAATAAATATAAATCTTTAAAAACAAACAAACAAATAAATAAATCCATCCTAACTCCATGGACCTATGATTATACTTTCAAATTACCTTGGGTACATTTGAAATTGATGTTTATTTACATGATCATTTTTTTCTACATAATATCAATTTTTAAATAGATGTCTTTTGATTCAACAGCTGTTACTTTAAAAAATATTCTTTTGCTGCATTTAATTGCATATGAGAAATGTGAATGATAAAAAAATGAGTAGTGATATTGGGCCAAACGCTCATTACTGTTCCTGTAACTCTTAATCTTCTTGAATGGATAATACAGTATACGAATCTTGCCAGATGTGAAAAATCTATGAACGAAATAACAGACTACTAAAATTCACCAGTGACAACTGTCATGTGTAAGTGAGAAATACAAAAAAATTAGGCCTTCTATGTAGTAAACTGGCTTATGGTGTGACTGGCGTGCCAAGTAGCCTTTTGCCAACTCAAGTTGACAGAATCTAGCAGTGACTATAAGTAAAACATAGGAAAAAAATGTGGCTATGTCCTTAGAAAGTCTGTGCTAAGGAACTGATAATACAGTTTTGGTCCCTGAGAAGGCTTAACACCAAGATTCTCTCCAGTCTTACTTAACAGACTAATAAGCTCCTTTGTGTCAGACACGCTGAGAATAATTCCTTAGATCTAATTCATATAGTCATGAGATCTTTTAAAGATCACAGAAATACTGACCAAGACCTAGTAGGTATTTGAGAGGAGCACTAAGGTATCACTGCTAATGAAAATTATGAATATGAAGGAGGCCCAGTGTAATGAAATATGCCTGTAATCTCAGCTCTGGAGAGGCTGAGGAAACAGTCTAAGGCCACCCTGGGATATACAACAAGATCCTTTTAAGGGGATAAAGAGAAAAAAATTATGCAGTGGTAGTAGTCTATGCTCACTAATACTTGTTTCAACAGACCATCTGCTTTTATACATCTAAAAGTCACTACATCTGAGTACTTTACAGAAGCCTAGAGACCAGCTTCTAAAAGTTCAGCACAGCACTGACCAAGAACTGGACCACTAGGAACCAAGGATGAGGATCTATGACTGCAGGCTTGAGCATGGCTCTATCAAAAGTAGACACAAACAGGCTGGGGACCTGGCTCGAGGGAAACTCTTGCCTAGCATGCATAACTCCCATGTCTGAATTTCCTAGTACCACAAAAAGAGATAAGAAAACAGATGTAATGTGACAGGAAATCAGATGAGGAAACTAGCTGGAGGAAGAAAGGGAAGGGACAGAGGGAAACAAATCAGAACTCTAATGACACATGTATGAGGATGCTGTAGTAAAACCCAGTACTTTGTATGTTAACTTAAAATGCTAATAAAGAAAAAGCAAGAAGGAGGAGGGGGATAGGATAAGGGGATATCTGGGGGAGGGATGGGGGAAGGGGATGGCATCTGAAATGTAAATAAATAAAATATCCAAGAAAAAAAAGAAAACAGATGTGAAACTCAATGAAAGGAAAAGATCAATATATTATTCCTGTGATTATTTAAGAAATAAAATTAGGCAGAACAAAATGGCTTAAACAGAAGAAATGGAATCTTGTAGTTGAACAGAGAGCAGCAAAATATGTTTTGTTGATATTCTAATAGAAACAACTATAGTGATAGTCTCAGCGACCAGCAAGGACAGTGGAGAAACAGTTCCTCTCCAAAGGTCCCAGTGTGGGCAGTTATGTCTTCCTCTTCTAGAACTCCACACACACACAGCCTTTGCGCAGAACCAGAGCAATGTTCCACATGGTATCCTGGATCTGGATTCCAGTAGGAAGCCCTAACTGATCTAATACTTGATCAGTACTTACAACAGGAAACAGCCTTTTCAAATGTCAAGATATTTATGAGCAAGAGCACTGTCCAAGAAGAGGAGGAGAGAAATGGCCTAAATGTCTTCCAAGAGTAATCCGCTAGCTAAGTTGTTCCAAATGCTTTTAGTTTGATGATTTTAAAGACTTGGGAAAAAGTACATAGTAGGCATGTTTTCCTTAGAGAGACCAGTAGGAGATTCTTTTGCATTCTAGATTTTTTCCTCAGAACTCTGACTTGGAAATTTTTATTTTCTTTTGCATGTCCAAGTGAATTGTGAAAAACTGAGTTTGTAAAATAGTAGGTATACATACATGTGTACTATATTAAATTTGAAAATTAGGCCCTATTCATGATTGTTATTTGGAAGTTAACAGTGAGCGATAACGTGTTCTTCTAGAACAAAAGCATAAAACCTACTGAAGCAATCTGCTGACCAGATGTAAATCTGGGTGATCTGGCTGTTCCAGAACATTAGGAGAAGTATTAATACAATAAAATTTTGCTTCACGCACAAAATATTAGCCTCTGGATATTCATGGTTTAATTGTGGATCAAAACTTCAGGTATACCAACAGGTGCATTTAAACTAAGTTCCACGGTAAGCAGCAAAAATGAACAAGGTAATTTCCATACTATAAATTTCATGACTGTACTAGTATAGTTATATTCTTACCTCAGAAGCCTTTGTACTAAAATTATACCGATCCTGCTGCATAACACTTTCCACTTATGTTCTATTCAATAAATTAAGTTTTATATTCCTAAAGATACTAGTGATTAAAAAAAAAATCAAGAGCTGATCAACTGAAGAATGAACGTGACCATTTACCACTTTATGCAAGGTTTTCAATGGTTTAAATCACTTTGTTGCTCTTCTTCACAAATTACTGACTGATACACCAAGATCATCATTCATGCTTTCAATTTATTGAGTCTGACAAATGGCCAGAAACTAGATTCCTTTATGCTAAACTAGTATTTTACTTACTCTTTTTTTTTTCTACACTTCAGTGAACTATCATTTGGTCTTTTATGGGGAGGGCAGGTTTGAGACAGGTTTTCTCTGTGCAGCCCTGGCTGTCCTGGAACTTGCTCTGTAAACTAGGCTGGTCATAAACTCAGAGGCTTGCCTGGCTCTGGGGATTAAAAGCATATGCCACCAACATCTGGCTATTCTTTGAATCTTTACTTTAAAAATGCCCTTTCTATCTGGAAAAGCACACTTTTTTCTTAGTAAGAAGTTTAATTGGGTATTATTAAAATTATGTTCTACCTCACCTAACTTATTTATCCAACCCTATTTATTTTAACTTGGCCTATTCCACTCAGATAAAACAAAACAGGTGGAATACACAACATCATAATACGGTATATCATAATATGATACTATATTGTGTCACCTTGTACCTTACTCCAATTTAATGCACAGGAAGGTTACTATGGATAGAAGGATCATTTCTGATCTAAAGTACTGATACTGCAGGATTAAGAACTATTTTCCATTTAAGAAGGTTGTTTTGTTGTTTCTGGTTGATGCTGGGTATCAAGCCCAGGACCTTGCATATAGTCAGAAGGTTTAGAAAGAGGCTCAGTAAGAAAGTACAGAAGGTTCTATCATTTCAAAAAAGGCTACATTGTTTTCATCTCTGCTAGAAACTCCCTTAGAAAGTACACATGACACTCTGTAGAAACAGTCCTAAGTTGTACTCCTGTATTCAGGCGCTTTTACTAAACTGCAGTGTGTACTAAAGACACATCCTCTAAGGTAACAACCTTAGTGTCAAGTTCAACAGTTTATTTCTTCTGAATGGACACAGTACTGCCTGAAACAGAAAGCAGGTGTTTTTCATCATGGATCCAAGTAACAGAGGTTAAATGCAAATTAAATAATTAAATATCTCTTCGTACTTAATCAGTTGTCTTTAATTGGACAACAATATACAACTGGGTCACTTTTCAAATTTTTCTGTATCTTTCGTCTTCACCATCTTCCAATGAACATTTTTCTAACTGCTTTATGTATCTGTAATTAGAACAGTTAACATATACAAATAGTTAAATTAAGTGAATAATTCAAATGATAAAGGCACTAAAATTGATCTGAGCTATCGAAAAGTCACCCTGTCAATGGAACTCTGGGTCACTGTCATTAACTCTTCTCTCTCTGCTTACCTCACCTTCGGGGTACATGTAGGAGAGTCTGGTTGTTAAAGGACTAAAAACCACTTGATTCACATACCACTTATTTGAGTAAAATACCTGAATGCTATACATGCTTAACACAAGTACAAGGTCACTCACGTTTACTGTACAGAGCCAGATTTCACTTCCTTTTCCAAGGTACTCTAAAAACATCTGCTCCCCTACAAAGACTAACTAGAAAGACCGCATCCTTATTTTCTTGTAAATCATGTTAAAATGTTTTAAACAAGTAATTAATGAAAGCCTCTAGGTTAATGGAAATGAATACAGAATTTGTCTCATCAGAGAGTTTACACCCAAACAACTATTGGGAGCTCTGTGCTGCAGAGGTCTGGACCTCTCACCCTGGTGCAAAGCCCATTGTCCACTAGATTAGTAGTACACAGGCAACTCTCACTGAGAGGCTCTTCTACTTGACATGTAGTAAGAACCACAGACCCCCTCCAATGCCTGTTCCTCAAGCCCCCATCCCTTGATGCATCTTAGTCTGTTTTCATATTGGATTTGTTCATCTCCCCAAGGTTGAAGTTGAATTCTTTGAACACTTGTATAAGGACAATTCCCACGGAGACAGTTGTAAATCCACAGGCCATGCCCAAGAAGTCCACTAGGCCCACATTGCTCCACTCCCGGAAGAGGATGGCTGAAGCCAGTAGGACCAGCGTGGTAAACACAACGTAGTAGATGGCCCCAAACACAGAGGAGTCGAAGCACTCCAGGGCCTTGTTGATGTACCTGAATTGGACAATGATGCTGCAGCCCAGGACAGCCAGGAGCACCAGGCACAGGCAGAGGGCTCTCTGACTGGATGGATTGTTGTGCAAGATGTCTTGGGCTGCCAGCCCAATGCCCTTGGTGGAAGGCACAGTGAAACTCCCCAGTAAGGAGCAGATGCTGATGTAGACCATGATGTTGGTGGGCCCGTGGGCTGGTGCAATCCAGAAGATCAACAGCAGCAGCATGAGCAGCACAATGCACAGGTAGCCCACAAACACTGTAAGATAGACAGCATACGGTGACCAGGGAAGCCATTTCACCAAAGACCACTCAGAAGGCAGAGCCGAACCAGTGCCTGATCCCTTTCCAGCCACCTCTTCAACCAAGGGGAGAGAAACCTAAGGGGGGACAAGTAACCACTCAACAGCTCTAACTTGAGTTTATTACACCCACTAAGTCCATTCCACAAAAAACAATCATACAATGATGTAGCTCAGTGGTAGAGCACTTGTCCAGTATACTCAAGGTCCAGGGTTTGATCCCAAGCATGGTAAAACAAAAATGTATAGCTCCAAGCTACTGCAGCCACAAGAATAATGTTAGGCCAGAACTGTTGCCTTGCCTGGAATGCCCATGCCTAGGAGTCTTTGCCTTGTGTCCTTTACCATTAAAGATCTCATTCTAATTCTGCCTCTGGTTGGATACAACCTTATCCAACGAGGCTATAACTACCTACTGCCCTACAAATGGATGGAAACATGCTCTAACGAAGAAAAAAATCCATTCCCAAGACTCTCAGGATCAAGCCTGGAGCAGCTGAAGAAATTGTAAACACCTCCATTGACAGGAAGCCCCTCATGGCTCCCAATGGAGATGTGAAATCCTGCCTTCAAGTGTCATAACTACTAATGTTTATATGACCTATTTCATCAGTACTATTAAAAACAACAACAAAAACAGGTTTAAAAACCTGAAATAAAACAAACAACAAACAAAAACCAATAGCAACAACAACAAAAAACAAAACAAAGTGGCGGCTGGAAAGATGGCTCAGCAGTTAAGAGCACTGACTGCTCTTCTAGAGGTTCTGAGCTTAATGCCCAGCAACCACATGGTAGCTCACAACCATCTGTAAAGGGATTGATCTGATGCCATCTTCTAGTGGGTCTGAAGGCAACTACCCTGTATTCATATACATTAAACAAATAAATAAATGTTTTGGTCTTTTTTTTTTTTAAAAAAAAGCAAACAAACCCAAAGCTAGTCACATGGTGAACTTTATTTTTTCTCACTGACTGGGCCTTGTTTTGTTATTCTGACTGGTTTGAAACACCTAAGTTCAAAGGATCCTCCCAGTTCAGCCTTTTTAGTAGCTGAGACTGTGGGTACAAGGTATGGTTTCATCCAGCCACAAGATGAATTTTCTTACTTCTGAGTCAATTTCAACAAATGTTTATGGAACACATCCCGCAGACAGATGATATGAAGAGCGTAATAGGGTGTAAGCTAAAGTGAAGACAATTTTAAACTGGCAGTGTGTAGGCCCAATTCAACCTTTAGTTCAGTGGTTCTCAACCTGTGGGTCTCAATCTCTTTGAAAGGTCAAATGACCTTCCACAGGAGTCGCTTACACCATCAGAAAACACAGACTGACATCATGATTCCTAACACTAACAGAATTACAGTTATGAGGTAGCAATGAAAATAATTTTAAGACTGGGGTCACTACAACATGAGGAACTGTATTAAGGGGCGCAGCATGAGGAAGGTTGAGAACCACTGCTCTAGGGTATGCACACAATGAGTGTGGTTTGGGTACAAAGAGCACACACAACCATAAACTCTCCTGTGTTCTTCACGTCTGAATGCCTCCTGGGACATCTAGCTGAAATATCTGGTTATTTAATAACATGTAGCAGTATATTTCCCTGGCTACGTTTTACAATAAACTCAGTAATTTGGGAGGAGCCAATGTGGGAGGGGTAGGATAGGAAGAGGGGAAGGAAGAGGAGGAGCAAGGAGAGATGTAGACGCAATAGAGAACCATGCTTGGATTGAGAGCAGTCCTGGGTAACAACTTATATCTAGGTTAGTTAATTGGGTAACACCTCCAATTGTGTGGGCATCTTGTTAATTGAGCATTACCAAATATATAAAGCCTTTGGTTAATCTTTAAACATTAGAGTTTCATTTCTACCGGGACTATCATCTACTGCGTGGATGGCAGGATGGTCTCAGCCAAACGTTGTGGAGACAGTGTGGTAGATTGGCAGAGTCATGTCCCACACTGGCGTCTCGTGGGTACAAGGGCCGGTACTTCTGGCCTGCCTGAGCTGGCGGCCTAAGCTACAGCAGCAGCAGCAGCAGCAACAGTGAGAACATGCCTCCACTCGTGGCCTCAGGCCTTGCCTAGTCAGGAACATGGCGGCACCATGACAACAAGACAGATTGGGTGCTGCCGCTTTAAATATTATCCTTAACAATTACAAATTATCAGAGCTAGAAATAATATAAGTAGTCCTTGTATATATTTCATACACATTAAAATTTTCACAAGCACAACTTCCATGTAGGCTTTCTCTGACTGAGAGTTCAAGATGAGCTATCTTCCATTTCAGAGAGTCATACTGCTGATAGCATGTGCTCAGAGTAAGTCAAGAACATGATATCTCATGTCAGCTTGTATCTACATCAACCAGAGTTTTTCAGCACTCACACAGTTTGTGTGGTCTGCCAAGTTTTCCTATAGTTGTATTTGAGCAGTTACATTAGTAGGTATAATCCTGTAATGGCTTCATTATATTGACTGCTCTGAAATTCCATGTACCAGGCTGATTTCACATGCTGGCATTCACAAATCTGGAAACCAGTGGTTACTCGAATCAGTCATGTAGACATGCACAGTGACAAGTGTGCACATGCAAACAATCAAGCAGGCAGTGGGAGCTCAGGCCCTCAGAACTGAGAAAATACTATCTAGCCATGTATTGGAGGCAGCTCGGGAAAAGAGTCAATGGAAGGACATTTAAAAGCTGTCTGACAGCTTCACTTACAAACTGGCAAACCGGCAATGGAGGGAGAGAGAGTGGTACGTGTAAGCAGAAAATACTACCTCACTGCGGGCCAGGTTGGAAGGCTATGAGTATAAAAACAGAAGCAGCCTGAGCACAGGCAGAGGATCAGCAGCATAGGAGTGTGAATGTGGATCTGTCTGGGTTTGTGCTCATGGAAAGTTGCATACAAAAAAACCTTAAAGATGGAAGGGACAATCAGATGACATTCCAGAAGGGTCTGTAAAATCAAAAAGGCTGACATGGTAGGAGCTGGAAGTAAAAGGTAGTGGAGGCTGGCAAAATCATATCTCATCCAAGGCAGCAATGAGGACAGCTGAGGCACCCTGGCTAACTGGCTAAAGAAGGAACAAGAACACCAGCCACATGGGGGCTGGGCTGGGTGGGGTGGGGACTGGGACAGTGGCCTCAGTAGCTATGTGTGGAATTGTATGGGAAGGGTTAGGAGGTGTGACACTGTTGGAGAAGCTGTGTCACTAGGGACAGGCTTTGAGGTTTCAAACAAAACTCATGGCAGTTCCAGTGCTGTCTCTCTGCCTCCTGCCTGTGGATTAAGACACGAGCTCTCGGCTGTTCTGGTCAACACTCCTTTGCTCCACCATCATGGACTCTTAACCCTCTGAAACCATGGGCTCAGTTAAATGCCTTGTTTCATAAGCTGTCATGTCCATGGTGTTTTGTTGCAGCAACAGGAAAGTAACTAAGACAACAGGATCATATACCAAAGGGAAACAAGGTCTCAGTTAACTTCAATGAGTTCCCCAGGTAATCAACCCGGACTTAGAGTACATCTGAAAGTTGGTTTAGGCTCGTACTCACAGTCAGCTGATGTACGCACATAAAATGGACAGCAATCAAGGTCTGTGGTGAAAAATCAGAGTAGGCACTGTACACCTGCCGTGCCGGAAAGTGTCAGGACAGAGTGGTAGCATGAAATGTCTGGCTTCCTTGGGAAACACACTTGGCCACCCTGCTAAAAAGGTGTTACCTGGATTGGTCAGCTTCTCCTCCAACTCAGCCTGAGTGGTCACACTCTCAGACTTTGGGGAATGGATGATCAGCACGACAGAACCTGCACAGCTTAGCAGACACCCCAACTTGCCCAAGATGTTGAGCTTTTCCTTCAGAAGATAAGAAGCTAAAATAGACCTTCAATTAAAGAAAAAAAATCATTACAGTTTGAATCAAACTTGTTTCTACTAGTTGAAGATACTTTATCTAGACGATTCATACTTTCTTTATAGGTGTACTTTATTTTCATTGAGTTTTTTTTTAAATGTTGTTTCATTTGTAGTTTAGCACTGGGAATCAAATCCAGGGCCCTGCATATGCTTTAACACTGAGCAACATACATGCCTAGCCCATCATTTACTTTTTACAAATGGAAAAACTAACTTTCCCATTATATGTTTATTGAAGGTTTTTTTTCAGCACAAGTGGATCTTTTTAAAAAGATTTATTTATTTCTTCATTTGTTTTTTATCAATACACTGTCACTGTCTTCAGACACACCAGAAGAGGGCATCAGATCCCATTACAGATGGTTTTGAGCTACCATGTGGTTGCTGGGATTTGAACTCAGGACCTCTGGAAAAGCAGTCAGTGCTCTTAACTGCTGAGCCATCTCTCCAGCCCCACAATTGGATTTCTGTATCATTTTCACGCATGCAGTTTTTAATATCTTAACTCATATCACTGTATAATGTCTTAATTATCTTATAGATATGAAACATATGACAAGAGGAACAGAGTACAACAGGCTCATGGTTACACTGGATTATTTTCTTTGACAAATAGTCCCCAGACAATATCCACATAGAAGCTAAGGCTACAAAGTTAATGAAGAGGCAGGAGAAATGTCCCTTATTCTTATTGAAATGAACTGACAAGAGACAGTTGACGGGGAAAAAAGGACCCACAATCATTTAGTGTGCATTATCATTTGTATTTTTAGGAAAATGAAAACAATGAGACAGAACGTCACTGTGTAGCCCCAGTTGGCTTGGAACTCATGGCAGGCCTCTGCTTTAGCCTTCCATGAGCCACCCCACTCAGGCAATTGACATCATAAATGTCTGCCATTGCCTGGGCATTAATACAGTTTCCTGCCTGTGATGTTACTGGGAAGCTAAGTCATTGGAAAGGGAAGGCAGAGGTCTAAAGCGAGGGAAGAGGGAACTAGAACTGGAATAGAATATGACAAAAGGGTAATGGGAGGGCTGCCCTGGGGAGACTGAGTGACCAGCAAGCAGAAGGTGGCCAGGAGAGGGCAGCAGTGCGTAGAGAAAGAATGAAGTCCATGCGTGAAGGGTCAGAGTGAAACCCATCACTCTGCTTCCCAACAAAAAAATCAACTGAAAATACTTAAGAACAAACCCAGAGAAAATTAAAGAAAAATTAAGGCCAGATGGTTAGAACTTAAACACTGCCTTCCCAGGGGAGTGAGAGAGGGGTATGTGGCTGCAGATGAATATGTGAAGAAGTGGCTGTGCAGGGCTCCTCTCAGCCCTGGAAGTCACAGGAAGTGAGGAACAAAAAACCTTGTCCTTTGCAGAGAATCAGTTCATCTTTTCAGACGGCCTTAGAAAAGCGGATGAGCAGGGTTTCTGGGTAAGGTGATGGGCTCCGGTGGCTCTCCTTTCCTCGTTATTCAAAGAATGGGGTTGGGGGCGGCACACAGTTAAAGACTAGACTTATTTTGGAAGAAATATATTCAGCCATATAAGTGAGCTGAGAAATCCTTACCTTGTACTTTGTCAAATGAGAATGAAAGATGACTAGACACACCAGGGGCAAGAAGGCACGGGTAAGAGACCTGAGTTGGAAGGTTCACCCCGTCAACACGCCACACTTGGGACTATCACTTTCTGAATACCTGCACATAGTTCTCACCTCCTGCCTTATACTACTTTGTGTAATGTAAACAGAGTGTAAATACTATACTGCACCTACAGTTTTGTCCTAAAGGAGGCCTAGTAGTCCAGTTTGGAAAAGTAACTGCATTGCTGACATAATATATAAGAAAACCATGGTGGGGCAGTGGTGGTGCACGCCTTTAATCCCAGCACTTGGGAGGCAGAGGCAGGCAGATTTCTGAATTCGAGGCCAGTCTGGTCTACAGCCTGAGTTCCAGGACTCAGCCAGGGCTATAAAGAGAAACCCTGCCTCGAAAAACAAAACAAGCAAACAACAACAACAACAACAACAAAATCATGGCAAAACATGCCTATATCTTAAATCAGGGCTGGGATGGTTTGAATGCCCCACAGGCTCGTATTTTTGACTACTTGACCCCTAGTTGGTAGAACTGTTTGGAAAGGGATTGGGGTGTGACCTTGCTGGAGTTAAGTGTGATACTGGTGAAGGGCTTTGAGGTTTCAAAAGGCCTGAACCATTCCCAGTGCTGTCTCTGCCTCCTGCCTATGGATCAATAAATGAGCTCTCAGCTGGCCCTTTGCTCTGCCATTGTGGAATCTCACCTTCTGAAACTATAAGTGAACACTTTTTGCTTTATAAGTTGCCTTGATCAAGGTGTTTTGTCACAGCGATAGGGAAGTAATAAAGGTAGGGCTCTATGCTGTTGCCCAAAGAACCAGGAACACAAGGGGGAGGGTCATAGAACAAAAAAACAGAACTGGGTTCACCTGCGACACTGTCAGACTGTGCCATGGTTGAAAGGGCCTGTCATGAACAAAAGCAGCAAGACAATGAGCCTGGACCACAGGGCCAGATCACCTCCCATCCTACTGCAAAAGACCAGAATGCAACAGCCACATATAAAAGTTGGTTATTGATGACTTATAAGAGTTTCATATATTGAAGTACAAGTTCCTTATCATATACATAATTTGAGACATTTTTCTCCTAGTCTGAACTTTCTTTCTTGATAGCAATCTCTGGAACATGGTTTTTAACATGTTTATTTGTGAGTGTGCAAACATTCTCTAGTGTGCATTTGGAGGTCAGAGGATAACTTATAGGAGTCTGTTTACTTAATGTGGACTATAGGACTGAACTTAGGTCATCCATCAGGTTAGGCAGCAAACCTGACGCCAGTAAAGATCGTCTGTCTTTATCTGCTAAGTCATCTCATTAGATTACTACTTATTCTAAATTTATTCTTTTATTAATTTCATATAAGATACAATGTATCTTGATTATGTCTACCCCAACTCCATTCTGTCACCCCACCCCAAACAAGTCTCCCTCCAACCTTCATTTCTCTGAGAAACAGAGGTTTTAATTTTGGTATCTGGTTTATTTTTTTCTTCATGTGATTCTGGTATCATACCTAAATAACCCATTGACTGATTTTAAAATTATAGTGACTTAAACTGTTTTCTTCTTGGAGTCTGCCAGTTTTAGCTCTCAGACAGATTTTGAGTTCCTTTTTGTGTGGTGAGGTACAAGCAACAACTTTGAATATTTGCATGCTGATGTCCTATTTGGCATTATTTGGTTTTTCTTCATTTTGGCAACGCTGGGATCAGGTTTGGACCCTGCATGTGCTCAGAACAACACTGAATAGACACATATGAGCTACAGCCCCAGCCCTTCAGCACTATTTTTTTGAAAGCCTAGACTTTCTTATAGAATTAGTTTGGTATTTCTGGTAAGAAATGAGTAAGACTGTAAGTGTATCTCTGAAATCCCAATCCTATTTTCATCAGTTTGTATACCTGACCTTAACCCAGTATTAGGTTTTGATTACTGTAGTGTTTATTTTATTTTATTTGAGATGAGCACTCACTACAAAGTCCAGTCTCATCTCAATCTTGAAGTCCCCTTCCAACTGCTGGGCTTACACACACAAACCATAACATCCAGATTCAAACTCCCAAGTGCTGGGCTTACAGGCACACAGCACAGCGCCCAGCCTGAGTGCTGGGCTTACAGGCACACAGCACAGTGCCCAGCTTGAGTGCTGGGCTTACAGGCACACAGCACAGTGCCCAGCTTGAGTGCTGGGCTTACAGGCACACAGCACAGCGCCCAGCTTGAGTGCTGGGTTTTGAAAGAAGCCTTGAAATTAGAAAGTGGATTCCTCCAGATTTCTTTGTATTTTCAAGATTGTTTATCTATTTAGAGTTATCTCCATCTGCATATAAATTTTAGGACCGGTGTGCCAATTCTATAATGAATTCAGATGAGATTTTGATAGAATTTTGCCGAACCTACAGATTAATGAGAACACTACCATGGTAATATTTTTTTTTCTGGTCTGTAAATATGGGCCATTTGCTACATCTCCTTTAAATACACTTAGAAATACCTGCTGGCACTAGCATCTGCCTGAAGGCTGAAAGACTTTCATAGTTTTCCAAGTATGATTGCCCTTTTTTGTGACATTTATTCCTATTTCATTTACTTTGGTTCTACTGAATATAAAACTTTTTAATTTTTTTTTTTTTTTTTTTTTTTTGGTTTGGTTTTTCGAGACAGGGTTTCTCTGTGTAGTCCTGGCTGTCCTGGAACTCACTCTGTAGACCAGGCTAGCCTCGAACTCTCGAACTCAGAAATCCGCCCGCCTCTGCCTCCCAAGTGCTGGGATTAAAGGCGTGCGCCACCACCGCCCGGCAAACTTTTTAATTTTTATTAAATACTTGTATTTAACAGTCATACATGCGTACTTGGACTCAGTATTCTGGATTCTCTTCCCTCCTCTCTAATTCCTTCCCATTCCACTCTTCTCTCCCAATGTCATAGTCACATTCTTCCTTCTGCACACCCATCTTCCCCTCCCCTCCCTTTAACTTAATACCAACTGAGTACATTTAACTGTCTGTATGAGCATGGTGTGAGACTGTCTACATGGATAGTCTCTCAGGGCCAGCATCCCTGAAGAAAAGTGATTCCACCTCTCCCAGTAGCCATGAGTATTGGAATGTGCTATGAATTCTATAGAGAAAGAGAAATAATAAATAGTTTTACCTGGATGTGAACCCTTGAGCTCCAATAATGATTGACCTTGGCAGGATATGCTCACTGGGGTAACAGTGGAAAAGATTGTATGGGACTAACCAACCATTGTATGTACCACAAGATGGAACTCAAGCATAGAGGAATTAACTGAGCCAAAACAAAAACCTGTGCATGGCTAAAACCTAGTACTATCATTCTGCTAAATGGACATAATAATAAACTACCTC